CGTCCGCTTGACCATTAGGTCGTGATGTCCACCGCCTCCGCGCAGCGCAGTGCTCCCCCGACGATTGACAGGATCGGGTGGTGGGGTCCCACTCCGTCCCAGCCCCGCCTTGGGACATTAAGCGCGGTGAAAGAGCGCAAGCGCGCCCAGAAGTCCACTACTGCCCGAGCGCGGGCGTATTCCAGGGGGGTTGCTGCTGCTGTTGCTGCTGCTGCTGCTGCTGCTGCTGTTGCTGCTGCTGTTGCTGCTGCTGTTGCCGTCCCCGGTCCCGCGATGGGCCCCTGCGTTTGATCCTCGAGTACCGGCGCGTTCAGCGGCGGCCCCTCGTGCGGTCTCACTCCATTGGCCAGGTGAAAGAAGTCCGTTATCCGCCGCTGTTGGGGCCCTTGCGCCTGGATCTGTTGCGCTTGCTCTGGCTGTTCTGTCGCGGGGTTAGCCGCCCTTTCCAGTCGCCTTCCGGCTGCTCGCAGACAACACCTGCCTACCTCCATGGCAGACAGGGCTGCCAGGGCGATCACATCCCAGGGGGCCTGCTCGCAGCCGGTCGGGGCTTGGACCAACCACAGCTGCTTCCGGGTGATGCCGCCTGTCGCTGCCTCCTGGGAGGGCTGTATGTGTCGATCAATCTGCTCCCGGACAGCTTGTGCGACGGGGCACTCCCAGAAGTGGTGCATGCGTGGGGAGCAGTGCTGGTTGCTGGCGTTGCCGAACCCTCCACACCCACAGCGCTCCGGCACCATGCGGGCCAGGTGCATGTTGCCGGGCAGGGGGATGCCGTCCACGGCGAGCCGCCACAGCGTTTCTTTGTTCTCGTTCTCCCACCGCACCCCCGACCACAAGCGGGCTTGCGTCGCCCTGAAGCGGCTTGTTTCCGCTGAGGAGGAAGGTGTCGTTTCCTGCGGGTGCAACGCTTCTTGCACAAATGCTGCCATCAAGCGTCCCCGTTTCTCCTCGGTGGCCCCGCATTGCAGCTGTGTCGCTAGGCGGACCGTCAGGCGTGTGAGTGGGACGGTTGTTGTGCCGCCCGGCATCTGCCATCCGACCCGCTTTAGGATCATAGCCATCGCCTGAGTGCTGTTGGGGGTGCTTGGAGCCGCCATATCCCCCGCCGTTGGCCTCTCTGGCTGCTGCTGTTGGGGTTGCTGCTCATGCGGCTGCGTCTGTAGCTGTTGCTGCGGCTGTTGCTGCTGTT